CCCAACCAGCATGCGTCGTGATCCCGGTGCCTCGCCCTCAACGTATCAGTCGCGCAATACCAACCCGGAACGCAGCCCAACCAGCATGCGTCGTGATTCCGGTGCCTCGCCCTCAACGTATCAGTCGCACAGTACCAACCCGGAACACAACCCAACCAGTATGCGTCGTGATCCCGGTGCCTCGCCCTCAACGTATCAGTCGCGCAATACCAACCCGGAACGCAACCCAACCAGCATGCGTCGTGATGTAAGCTCGAACCCGTATGGAAAAAGCAGCGTTGGAGGCAGCGGGAATCGTGGAGGGAAGGGATTCGGAATCGGTGACACTTCAGTTGCGGCTGTTAGCCTTAGTTCCCTTGCGCTTCTTGCCATGGCCGCCGTTGTGGCGATGACGCCTGTCTGAGGAGTAGCAGCAGCGGCTGGGCACAAAAAAAAGTGCGGTGGGGTAATAATATAAATATATTCACGGCCTCTGATCCACGCACTCAAAATGTATGTCGTGTTATAATGCAATACACACATTAACTGTGCCTCATCTCTCCTTTTGTAAAGCAACTGCTACTCTCGCTTTGTACTGCCACCAATTCTGCGAAAGGCACGGAAATGGTTCTTGTTTTATATTGTTTTTGGTGGGTAACCTCTCTCTTCCTGGACTGTGCTCAAAGGGAAGAAGGAGAGCATGTGTGTGTACTCGTTGTCTCACTTGTTGTTGTACGTCCCACTGCTTGGTGGACGTGCCCACGCTTTGGCTTCACTTTAGGTTGTTTGTGTCTTTGTGTTTTTGTTTGTTTGCTTTTTTGATCGACTGCGCCCATTCGTCGCGCTGCGTGTTTGTCCTTCCATTACATTTCTCTTCCTCTGCCTAGCTGCTATTTGTGTGGATTTGCCGTCTCATTGCATCTTGCAGTCCTTCCTTTTCTTATTGCTTTGTTTTTTGCTGTGCATGTTTTCTGCAAGTGTAGGAGCTAACACACACACACACGCCATGTTGCTCACGCTGTGGAGCGGTGTGAACCTTTGAGGACGCGTGAAAGCACGAGTGTTCTGGTGGCGGCGGCCCTCGCCAACATGCCAGTGGCGCTCAAGCCGTGATGGTTTGGCCGCGAGAACGGGATGGAGGAGATGTTGCTGCAATTTCAGTCCGTGCGGCCGCTACCCCGCGCTGCAGACGGAGGAGGGCTGCGTCTTCGAGTCCGTCGCCATCCTGCGGCACGTCGCGCGTCTCGATCCGGGCGGCGGCTTCCTGCAAGACTGAACATCGCCGGAGAGCGGACGGGTGGAGTTGCAGGCAGCTCCTCTGGTGAGGCTGACCAACCTGTTGCGGTGTGGTGGTGGTGCAGTGCCCGCGCTGCCGTTTGTCTGCCAGGGTGGGGGCGGGTGTTGTGCCACCGGAGGGGGTCCACGCGGCGGGTTCACGGTGGGCCGCTCAGAGGAGCCTCGTGAATTGCACGCTCTTTCGCTGCTGGGCTGTGTAGGCTCAGCGGGAGTGGAAGGAGTGTGGGATGCTTCGTGCCGTCCTTGAGGCCCAGCCCCCATGAGCTTAGTCAGGAGGAGGCGAAACAAAAAAAGGCTGCGCTGCCGTCTGACTTCCGTCAGCCCACACAGTGCGTAGGTGTGGGACCAAAGACGTTGTTGTTGTTTTCTTTCTGTAGAGGCATTTTATTGTGAATTTCCGGTGTGGGAGGACGGTTGGGGTGCAGGTTGCTGCGGCGGTGCCGGCACAGTGAGGCAGTTCGGTGAGTGCACGGCGAGCTGCATTTGATAAAATGGGGATACATTCGTTGACGAGTTGTTGAGGGGGAAATTATTGAGGTGCGGCACGCTGCGAGTACGCCAAATAACACACGTGGCGGGGGTGTGGCGCCGTCGCGCCCCGAGTTGCTGCTCAGCGTAAAGAGGAGGAGAACACGGTGTATTTTTGGCACCGGAAGGTGCGTCAGTGCCGGGTGGCGACGTCGTATGGAGGCGTACATGCCGTGCGTGGTGGTTGAAGCGGTTTCTTGTTTTCCCCTCAGCCTCTTTGAGGTGCTTCACTTCCATGAGCACCGCGGTGCGGCTGGGAGGCGGGTGAATGCGTTTAGGTTGTTGGTGGCGGTGCCGCTGAAAAAAAATTTTTTTTGTGGCCGCAGAGGGAAGGCATCTGCTGCGTGTGTCTTGTCGTGGTGGTGCTGCTGCCACCTTCATTTACTGCCAAGTCTTGTGGAAGAAATGGTGCTGCGTGCGCCGTTTATTTTATTGTTTTTTTTTTTTAAATGCTACACCCCACTCCTGCAGCGTTGCGCTGAGGGAAGTGGGGGGCGTTGGGGAGTTTGTGGGGGCTGTGATGGGAGGTCCTGCCGGCATTGCGCACTGCGTGTTGCCGCTGGCGGGGTTTGAAGGGGCTGGGCGGGGGAGACGGTAAGCGAGGTGCTTATGAATTTGTTTTTTGTTGTTTGATTTATGCGGGAGACGTCCCACACTGCGGACTCTCCGTGCGGGTGCGTGTGGGTGTTTCTTCGGGCTGCGCACAACAGTCGCTGCCACCGCCGCCTTCTTTGCGGCTGCCGTTTTTTATGGGCGGCGGCGAGTGTGAGATCGTGCGGCCCACACGTTCGCTAATGCGGCCTTCGTTTTTTGGATTGTCGCTGTTCTTTTCGGTGTGCCCAACTGTGGGCGAGGGCGTTGACTATCGTTTTATGCCTTTTTTGTTTTGGTTTTTTGGTGTGCTTGCTTCTTCCTCACAACTTTATTTCCCTAACACACTCGGAATGAAAAAAATAGATCAAACGCTACTCGCTATTTTGTGTGCTTTGAGGGTTCTGGAGTCACCGCCCACACACAACACACACTCGTCGAGGCCTGAGCTGATCCAGCACGCGGAGAAAGAGAGAAGGAGTGAGCAGTGGCACATGCTTAACAGGTGCCGGTATATGTTTTCTTTTTCGGTGCAGCTCCTTTTTGTGCTGTTGATATGCTTTGACAGCGCGGCTGTGCACGCTGAGGAGGGAAATAAACCAAAGGAAGCGCAAATGCCACAGAGTGTCGATCTTTTTGTGCCGCATCGAACGATTGTGGAAACGCAAGGTGAAAATCAAAAGAGGGATTCCTTTGCTTTCCCTTCCCTCGCCAGTGCAGATGGAGTGTTGGTTTCTTTTGCCGAGAGTCACACCGACCTCCGAGTCTCCGGTGAGGAACATGCTTCAATCTATTATGCTGATGTTGTGGCGGGGTACATTAACTCTGCGGAGAACTGGTTGTCTTTTGTTGCTGAGGCCAATGCAAACGAATGGAAGGCGTACAGCATCTTTAACACGACCACGCAAGAGGAATATGCCACCCTTGTGATACGCGCGTTAAAACCCACAACAATTGCGATGGACAACAAGGTCTTCCTACTCGTGGGAGACTATCATCAGAAATATGATCCTTCATTGAGGAAGCAGACTGCACCCTCACAGGATCTTTATTTGCTCGTGGGTGAGGCCACGCAAGATAAAGTCATTCAATGGGGCGAACCCACCTCGATTCTATCACAGATCGAACCATATGCTAATCAAAGTGGCGTGAACCGGTTTGGTGGTAGTGGTGGCTCAGGCATTGTGATGGAGGATGGCACGCTTGTTTTTCCTGTGATGGCGAGGAATAAGGTAAAACAACTATTTCTTTCCATGATCATTTATTCGAAGGACGACGGCAAAAATTGGGTGCTTCCACACGGGATGCTCCCCACGCGGTGCACTCGCCCCCTCATCGTTGAGTGGGAGCAGGGGCAGCTTGTCATGGTTGCCAAATGCTTTTTCCTCACCCAGGTGTTCGAGTCGAGGGACATGGGGGCAACGTGGACGAGGGCTGTCAGGACACTCACACGCGTGCAGCCCCTGTTGTTACCAGACGCTTGGCGAACAGCTAAGGTAGTGGGGTCCCTCACCACTGCGACCATTGCTGGAAAGAAGGTCATGCTGTACACTCAGAAAGAGATTCCCCCTTGGGAGATTGTGCAAGCCACCGCGCTCTACCTTTGGGTCACTGATAACAACCGCACGTTTCACGTCGGGCACATTTCCATGGACACTGCAGAGGAGGTGGCGTCTGCCAACACCCTGCTGCATTGTAACGATGTGCTGTACCTTTTACAAGAGAGGGGTAATGACAAGGCAAGCAGCCTGTTTCTTGCTCTCCTAACGGAACAGCTGAAGACGATCACGTCCGTCTTGGAGACTTGGGCAAAACTGGACTCCTACTTCTCCGAGTTGTCTGTGCCCACGGCCGGTCTGGTTGGATTCTTGTCGGATGCATCGGGTGATGGAACTTGGAACGACGCGTACCGTTGCGTGAATGCAACTGTGAGGAATGCAAAGAAGGTCGAAAATGGCTTTAATTTCACGGGGCCCAAGTCATACGCCATATGGCCTGTGAACGTGTGGAAGTATCACTATGTGCACAGCTTTGTGGATTACGAGTTCACGCTTGTGGCGGCGGTGACGATTCATAAGGTTATGAACAGGGTCCCTCATCTGCTGGGCGCGTTGCTGAGCAGAAAGGAAAACTTAATGTTTATGGGGCTGTCGTACACGGCGGGGAAACAGTGGGGTACAGTCTTCAACGGCATCACGACAATAGCGCTCAATAGTAGTTGGGAGCCGGGGGAGGAGTACAAAGTGGCACTCATGCTGCAGGGCAACAAGGGCTCCGTGTACGTGGACGGCGTGCTTATGGGGAGTTGCGACACACTACCAATTCTTGAGGCACGGAGGCACCAAATCGCACGCTTTTACTTTGGTGGCGGGAAAGACGGCAGTGCGAGAGTAAGGACCGTGTTTTTGTACAACCGCCCACTGAATGCCATGGAACTCAAAGCGGTTGACAGCTACAATTCATCTGGGAAACTTCCAGGTGACAGTTCCACGCGTGCTAATGCGTTTCGGGTGTCAATTCTGCTGCTGGTGCTATTGGGCTTTGCGGCTCTGTGCTGAGTGGAGCCCGGTGGAAGGGAGTTTGTGCTTCTACTGAGAGCATCTCTGTCTCTCCACGCACCCTGAGAAGTAAATAAAGTCTTAGGTGGACACGCATTTTGTTTTATTTTGTCTTTTTTTTTTATGCGTTTACGCATAATATTTTTTTTCTTGGACCCACAAATTGCGTTCTCTCATCGGCTCCAGCACAGCGGGGTCCTCATTTATTTTATTCCGTACTTTTCAGTGAATGGCCTCCCGTCATTGATAGAGGCGAACAATATGGCAAACATAAATTGTTTTTTAGTGTTTTTGTTCAGTGTTTTCTTGGTTTACTGCTTTACGGATGTGCTTTTTGTTGGTTAGTTCTTGACGATGGCGTTGCGCCTGCGTGTTTGCCTGGCAGTATGAGATGCTCTACTGCGCCTCCGCACTGCGGTCGCCGCAGGAGGTACCGGGGCTTTCTTTTTTACGTCCTGGTTTTTGGCGTGGGGTGATGTGCACCACGGTGCCGGCTGACCCGCAGACCACTGAATTGGTTTGAAAAGACACGAATAAAAACAACTAACCGCTTTTCTTGGGCGGCTGCGGACGCTCTCGGCATTGTGTGTCCGCCGATGGGAGAAGGAAGGAGGAAAGAAGGAATGAGAGCCACAGCAACGCAATTCGGTTCCGTGTGGAAGTCAAACGGTGTCTGGACACCGGGGGCCTTTCGGTGTTTAAAACGAATGTCCTTTTTTAAATGTATGTGGTCAAAACACGAAAACATTTTTTTGTTTTGAAGGACCGTACACGGGCCTTCCACGACAATATTTTTTTTGTGAACATTTTTAAGAGTTTTTTGTTGAAAATTTTTTTATGAGTATATTTTTTTTGTTGAACCATATTTCTTGTGTCTCACCATTGCGCGGGCTGCGGTGCCATTTTGAGTTTTAGTTATGTAGTTTTTCTATCTTTGCCTCCTGCATCTCTTCTGTGTGTGTATGTGCGTCCTCACACGCTTTGCTCCTCTTTCCTTTCTTTCAATTTTTGTATCTGCAGGCACACACGTACGCGACATATATATATATTGCAGTGCACGTGGAGGATGCTTTTGTAGTTGGTGCTGGCAGCATTCTGTGGCTATGAAGAGACCGAGACAACGACAAAGGAATAGTGTGCGCTGTGACTCACTCCCTTTCTTTGCGAAGGCAGTGCGAAGCGTGTGGGAGTGTTGCTCTGAGTAACCTCGTGGCTTGCGCACGATGTGCAATGGCGCAGTGGTGTGGATGCCGTGCCTTTCGATGACTGTTAGCCCACTTCCTGTCTGTGTGCGTGTGGCGGTGTGGTTGTTCGCGTTGGGTGTCTTGCGTTGGTTGCGGGGCTTCGAGGTTATTTCTTGCGGCTGCGGAGGTAAGCTGGCGTTCGTCGCTGCTCTTGTTCATTGTGGGGGGTTGGTTTCTCTTCATCTGCGGAATGAGAGTGCAGCAACCTTAACTGTCTGCAATAACGCTGCTCGCACATTTTTTCATCGTGGACACTTATGTAGCTGTACAGTAAAGTGAGTTTTGGTTTGTGGAACTGTTTTATTGAGCGTTCGGCCAATGCAATCCCTGAAGGGCATTTTGGGTGCGAATGCGCGGGTTA